CAAAATAGTTTGGGCATCCCTGACCTAATCTGATAGATAATTTATAACCTGTCGGAAATATCTGCGAACCTGGCTTGATGACGTCATGCAATATGGAGAGATGGCAACGGTACTGGATAGACGATAACGGGCGGAAATATCTGCGAACCTGGCTTGATGACGTCATGCAATATGGAGAGATGGCAACGGTACTGGATAGACGATAACGGGCGGAGGTGCGGGGAAGCGCGAGGGGAAGCGCATTCCAGCGAGGTTCGCAGATATTTCCGACAGGTTATACGTTATAGTTTCGATGTGCGAGTCTTTTGGAAATATTGTGTCATGTTGCGCGCTTAATTACCTTGAAGTTATATACATCCGTGTTTATTTGCATTAAGTGATTTCATTCATTTTCTTAAATAACTCCTACAATACCCATAATACGAGATCCATGATGAATTCTCATAGTTGGTCCCACACGGCGAGTAAGGAACTACAACAAATAATATCCGCCGAGCTCAGTGTATAATAGATACCTAGTATAAATAATTCAAGCGACAGTCCCAGTGAATGTAGCAATAGTTGAAAGATATTTTTCTACCCTGCACCGAGTAAGACCGTAACTGCGTACGCGAATTGCAGAAGACCGACATATCCGGCTTTTTACGTGCCCATAAAGCGTTAAATATTAAACTAACGTTACCTTACGTTATGTAAGAAAACTAGAATTAATTCTGTGACTAAATAACAAAATTTTGTATATAAAGTCAATGGCTACGCTAGCATTAATTAATTTTTAAGAGTGCCAATTTAAATTGCAGGTGTCAAAGCTGTCATCAAAACTTCCACACCTCACAAGAGCTAACCGAACACAAAAGCAACGGTGGAAGATCTGAAGGAAAAATCACTTGTACTCGATGTTCAGAGCGGTATCCCACGTACCGCGAGCTAGGCCAGCATATTGTCACGCATCGAACCGATAAATCACAGTGTGACTACTGCGGCAAAATGTATGTAGTTTATAACATTCTGGTTGTAGCACGAATGTATTGGCTCGACCGAGGTAGGTAGGGGGAAGTTACCACGCTCTCACAGAATACCAGCGTAAAATAGCAGCTTAATTCTGCTGTATTTCGTATGGCGAGTGTAGGGAATCGGAGGCACTTTTTACTGGAAACGAGTCATTCCATCTTAGTCCTCAGGAGTGACAACGCGTCTGAATATTGATTATTAATCGTAATATAAATGGAGATGTATATGCGAGCCACAGCATCCACTCACCCACTACCTCCGTTGAGTTATTGTGTTGTTACACGCCGGCTTCTCCGATTCTCTACACTCACCATAGGAAACACAGCAGCATTAAGCTGCTATTTTACATTGATATTCTATGAGAGCGTGGTCCTTCCCCGATCGAGCCGACCCATTCGTGTAACAAATATACAATTAATATAGCTGCAGCATGACTCTACCACGTACTTCACTCGCACAGAATATCAGTGCTACAAGGCATAGTGCTGCTGTATTTCCTATGGTGAGTGATGTAAGCCGAATAGCGGAGGTTCTTTGTATTAGCAATATTTCATTCCATCTAATTCGTCAATTCAGAGGTGACACATGAATTGGAGCATATAGTATGTTGGGTAATAGCTACCGCTTACCATCAGCTACCGCTTACCATCAGCTGAACTGTGTGGTCCTTCGTACCCTGACTTGTATAAAAGAAAACCAAGTTAGCCTGACCGTAATACTAATAATATGATGACTTCAAAAATATTATACAATTAAATTCGTCTTGGTAACAGATATTTATATATTTAATTTTACTATTTTTCGCAGACTCAAACATCATCATAGAAAGAAAACGGTGAATCGCATGGAAAACTTACTACTATGTTCACACTGTCTACGTACATTGAAAAATATAGAAAAACACGAAAAGGAAATAGTAAGTGTTTAAATAAATACGACTTGGGGTAAGGACAACTTCGACCAAGACGTCAATCGACGAATGCATCTCGGTTGAGCAACGTTCGGAAAATTACGACACATATCCTCATCACGTATTCCTCAACCCTCAGTATCTTAATTAAAATGGTAGATCTTTCCGATACAAAATATTTAGTGGTGGTCCTCCACTGCTAGTCGCATGAGGAAGATTAGTCGTTTAAGCTATGAAGAAAGCTATGCACGGAGTATTTACGTGGTAGAGCCATACTGCAGCTATATTAGTAGTATGGTTGTAGCACGAATGGGTCGGCTCGACCGGGGAAGGACCACGCTCTCACAGAAAACCAGCGTAAAATAGCAGCTTAACGCTGCTGTTTCGTATGGTGAGTGTAGAAAACCGGAAACCCTTTTTACTGGCAAAGACGCATTCGTTTTAGTCCTCACGGGTGACAACGCATCTGCATCTTGAGTCTTTATTGAGGATAGATGTAGATGTCTATGGGTCACAGTAACCACTTACCATCAGGTGGACTGTGTGCTCGTTTGTCACTCAACCCTAGAACTAGCAGTAGAAATAACCGACGTAGCCCAACGAATCATTAGATAAACTGACGTGAGGCAGATGTCGATACGAGTGGCGTAGCGATCACCAATCTACCCGCAAAGCGTGGCGATTATTTCAAATATCTTATGGGAAAAGACCACGGCCTAAAAGTGGACTGTTTTATCTTGATACTTTAAGCGAGCAATTCTTCTGTAAATACAACTCTTTATTGTACGCCACGACAAATTAACATAAAAATATACAAATATAAGACAAACAAAAGGTGTTCTTGTTAGTTACTATTTACTACTCAGCAATTTCTTCCTGACAACCCACGGGGAGTTAAATAAAAAGGGAGAAAGATTTGCGGGTAAGGTTCACTGTAATATTGAGACGTTATCAAATTATACCTACACTAAAGAGACAATAGATTCTTAGCGATGCAACGATGACCATAAATGAAAGAGAGAGAGAGAGAGGTTAGAGACATAATAATAATGTCCTCCACGCCAAATTTCGGTCACGGCGGCCAGTCGCAACGGAAACTAGCCATCTGCACACAGGTGCAGTATCTACTCTGTTCCCTCACTCTTATAGGCCGATTGGACGGAAATCCGACACATTAAAATCAGCAATCGCGCTTACGATTACTAGACCAACGAGGCAGCCAATGAGACAAAGTTTTTTGAATCAATCTAAAGATAAATTATGTATAGATGTAACTGGTTTTTGGAGATTGCTCTAAATATTTGGATGAAGTTTTGTATTTAATGTAGTTAAACATTGTGGACAGCTCGGTCGCACAGATACTATGATTCGATATGTGTCGACGGTAGATTGTATGATTCGTCACTATACAAACGGCGTCATAAGTTTGCAAACACTGGCCGATTTGTGAAATGCCGAAGGCAAATTGTAAAAAATGCCTCATTTTGTAATAATCTATGTCGTAATCCCATCGTTCAGTAGGTCACGACGTACATTAACCGATTCGTTGCGGCACCGATTTTCGACAACTATTAAAAATAAAAATATTTCATGACACGCCTGGCATATAGGCTATATATATGGCACAATAGGCGTGTCATCAGCCATGTGTAAAAGTAATGTTCTTTTTTATGCTTTTTTTACTTGTTTAGACCTAATTAAGTTTATTTGACATCAAACATAAGTTACAAATGGAAGGATACTTGTTTTTAGTGGGAACTACGTGTTTTTTTACGTGTTTTCTTTGAAATTGCGAGTAAGTAACTTTTTTTATGAAGAGATTACAAACCTTTTGTACTATTTTTTGTTTTATTAAAAAATCATTTATATAAGTAGGTACAACTAAATCACCCTGGAAACCTTGGTTTTTATTAAATTGAATTTTCACCTAATAATAACATTTGTAAATATCAAACAATGAAGAACCTTAATTTGGAAAAAAATAAGGTTTATGATTCATTGATATTTACAAATGTTAAATATTATTTAATGTTATACAAATGTAAAAGTAAAGTCGATCTGAAAACGTCTAATTAGTGAGAATAGCAAAACAAGTGTTTACAAAAGGAAAAAAAACTATTTGGCGGATTGACAAAAGACTATTTATTAGCGAACTTTTTTTATGCATGAACGGTTTTGAACTATTTCAAGCAAAAATAAACCTTATACCATATCACAAGAGCACATGGTACTTCGTAGGTCTATTCGGCCATATGATAGTAATAAGACTGCAGTTCAACCATTTTAAGCAAAATTAAACAATAAGACAAACGCATGTTTTCTTTTAAGAGGAGACTTGTTTTCCAGAAATTTATTTACAACTTGAGTTTGTAAGCGATCGCAATGAGTGCTATTATTTGTTACTTATTAGACTATTTTTCCACAACATAATTTAAAACGTGTACCATGTACACGTTAAAAAAAGGTTGTCAAACCCTAAAAATTTCAAATTTTCAAAATATCCAGAAACGAAGCTGCAGGCATGAACTATTTGCAAAATAATGAATATTTTGTTCTGGATAAATCTTCCAAGAGCAATTTGAGCGAGTTATAACGATTTTTAAAAAGGCACGACTCGCGTGTCATATGCCACACACAAAAGTAATCGATGGCACGCCTGGCGTGCCACCCGCACTGAACCGGTTAATACATTAATTAAATTAGGTATATAGTATATTTATATATTATATAGATCCGCCTATTTCTATGATGAACGACATATAAATTTGCCTACAAACCAGCGATCGTTTGCAAACAGACGACGCCGTTTGTATAATCCTGCTGATGATATATGCATGGTATTTTGTAACAGAAAGAAAAGTTAAAATCGAAGAGCAACGATACATCTAAGCAAGAAAAGTACCGAAAATTTCATCAGGCATTGGAAATTTCGAGCAGTGATGATGCTTCAACAGAGTAAAAAGTTTCGTTTGTTTCTACCAATAAATTTGGACCATGACAATATTAATAATAAATCATACAACTGTTTTTGCGTACTTTATTGAAAATTATAAACTAATCGCACATTCTACAACATAATTCAGTCTAGCCTCCTTTTCTTAACGAGTGAACCCAACAAATCTGAAATGGCTGGCAAATTGTTGGTTTGATCGTTAGCTCCCGTATTTAAATTAGACAGGGGTAAGTTTAACTGGTTGGACGCGCTCTTTTGCTGTCCCTTCATATTCCTGTGTTGAGGGAAGCTCGGCATCAACTTCGGATCACAAGCTGTAAAAGAAAGTCAATTGTTAAATAAAAAATAACTTCGTCTTAGTCATAAATAATAAGTATGTTTGTAACATTCAGTGACTATAATAACACTCATTTGTAAGATGGCCAAAAATTACCACATGTTAATTCTAAGTTTTAGTTCAGTATGTCATAAAAGTGTACACAGCTTAAATTTTCTTATAAGCAGTTAATTCATTACAGACTATTAATAGTTTACTGTTGAACATAAATCTCCATCATAAATTGTCTCATACGTCATACAGGATTATTTTGCAATAACCGGCCAAATTAGTAAGAGAATGTTCACAATATGTAATATAGGTAAATATTGAAGAAAAATTAATTTAAAAAACCTCAAACATTCTGTACCTTTTATTTTTATTTTAAGTGGTTGTCATTCATAAAATATCTAACGCCAACTATTTTACTACACACGCACATATTTGTAAGGGTCGATCGGTCGGCAAAAACGTGAATTGAATCGGGAGCGCGCGTACGCGTTTTTGTTGCCCAAAAATCACATTCAATTTGGGATAATTTCAAATAAAAGTAGAAGCCTAATTTACTCGTATTTTCACAAACTGCAATAACGGTATATCATTATTTATATAATATATTAACAGAAGTTTAAAATTTGGCTACTCTTTGAAAAATAACCCTGTATAAGTAATAGATACACATATACAACATATACATGTAACTGAATTGGTATTATATTTGAATATTATTGTATTGTATTGTATTATCCTCACAGACCCATATGTGGGTCAAGAGATAGGGAAAGGGTTAAAATACATACTTTACTGCACTTAAAAAATAGACCAATTGCAAGATGACGCGTACAGACAACACTAAAAAAGTATTGAATAAAATTACTTTTACGGATTTTATCGTGTTTAATTTACTTAATTTTCATTATCGACGTTTCGGGTGCTTTACAGCACCCATGGTCATGGGAGATGACTGAGATAATTGACTTCCCAATGTCAAAATTAAGACAGAGTAATTTCAACTTTTAATTATTACTATTGGTCCGATCTATGTATAGTGCTGTTTTGCAGTGGTATACTTGGTTTTCATTTTAAATCTGAGACTGATAAAATACTTATTCAAGATACTTACGCAATGGCTGTTCCTTAAAGTAGGAACTTTGTAAGCACTCTTCAGCTGTGGCTCTCTTATTAGGGTCGTACATGAAGAGGAAGTTGAGTAATCGTAACCCAGCCGCTGACAACCATGGGAAACGTTGTTTCAAGTTGTTATAAGGCTGCTGTTTCAGGGTGAAATTTTGTAGTGCCGGCAGGGTGCTAAACTCTGGCCAAATTGCATCTGATGGAGTGCCTGCAATATTGATGAGGAATGAGTAAATTACAAATTTCCTATTGCTTTAAAGTATAAAGTTGCAACCTATATACTTCGAATTTTAGGCACAGACCTACCCACATTTCTGAGACGGATAAGAAGCAATTCAACTGCCTGCTCTCTGTAAATTCGTATTGAAAAACTTCACATGTTCTCAAAGTAATTTATTCCTCAGACATTCAGGTTTCCTCACGATGTGTTCCTTTACCAACGAGCAGCGAGACATGGTAAATCACTATGTTTAGATACTGTGTGGCTTAGTGAACAAAGCACCAAAAAGAGCCATAGTCTTTAATTCATTTTTAGCCAGTCTATGCTTATGGAACGCTACAAAATGGATGTATTTTATGTCTGGTTAGATTATGATTGTTCTCATGTTTTTGCAACAAAACATATCCCTTTAATCCGCAAGGTTATTTTAAATATGGTTAACTAATAATGGTAAATAAGCCGTGTAGTGGCGGTCAAGAATATCCACTACCCCATATCCTCCCGTGGGTGTCGTAAAAGGCGACAAAAGGAAACAGGCAGGAGATGGGCAGCAGCATCTTCCTGATAATAGCCAAATTACAATAAAAAAAACTGCGGTTGCCAACCCGCTCGCCAAGCGTGGCAACTATGGCAAATACCCCCCAATGACTAAAGCAACAAACAGACGGCCCCCAGTCCCCGGCGGCCCCGCTATTCCTGGCTACGGTGGCGACCATGGTAACGGCGGGGCAGGGGGTGCTAAGAATCTCCGGTGGAGGTTCGGTTGCCGCCTTAGACGACTCGACCTGGCAACGTACAACTCACGCACCCTGAGGACTGACGAGAAGATCGTGGAGCTGGAAGAAGAGATAGACAAATTGCGCTGGCATATTATAGGATTATCCGAAGTCCGAAGAGAGGGGGAGGACACGGTAATCCTCGAATCCGGCAACTTGCTCTATCACCGGGAAGGCGACCATCTGTCCCAAGAAGGTGTCGGATTTATCGTCCACAAGTCTCTCGTTAACAACGTTTTAAAGATCGGGAGTGTGTCGACGAGGATTGCGTACCTTATACTCAGAATCACCAAACGGTATTCGCTGAAGGTCATACAGGTTTACGCACCAACCTCGGCACACTCCGATGAGGAGGTGGAGGAAATGTATGAGGATATCTCTAGAGATACGGTGTTAATGGGAGACTTCAATGCAAAACTAGGCACAAGAGAGAACGGTGAGCTGAAAGTAGGGAAATTTGGAATAGGGCAACGGAACCCAAGGGGCCAGCAGCTGGCCGACTTCATGGAGAAAGAGGGACTCTTTATGATGAACTCTTTCTTCCAGAAGCGGCCCCACAGAAAGTGGACCTGGTCGAGCCCCGACGGTTCGACAAAAAATGAGATTGACTTCATTATGACGACCACACGACAACTGTTCAGTGATGTCTCCGTGATCGCGAGGGTGAAAACTGGTAGCGATCACCGAATGGTTAGAGGCACACTGAACCTAAACGTTAAGTTGGAGAGGTCTCGTCTAATGAAGTCAACGCTCCGTCCCCCTCGTGCTCTGTTCCAAAGTCCCGAAACCTTTCAGCTCGAGTTACAAAACCATTTTCAGTGCCTAGAAGACTGCAATGAAGTGGACGATATGAATGACAAGCTCGTGGAAACTGTCCATGCGGTCGGAGCTAAGTTCTGTAAGACCCGCCGCAGAAGAACACAAAAACTCTCCGATCACACTCTTAATCTCATGGCTGTTAGACGGGAGATGAAGCTACATTCTTCAACAGACTTGACAGCATACAGGCATCTGAACAGACAGATCTCCAAATGCATGCGGCGGGACTTACGCAACTTCAATACAGCTCGTATTGAAGAAGCGATCGAGCGGAACCAAGGCTCCAAAGTCTTTGCCAGAGATCTGTCTGCCAGAAAAAGCCAACTGTCAAAGCTGAAGACGGAATGTGGCAGCATCGTTTCCGGGACACCTGAGATTTTGAGTGAGATTGAGAGGTTCTATGGGCAGCTGTACACGTCATCGTTGGCGCCACACGCAAGTGTTAGTAACGATCCAAGAGCGAGTCTCATCCGACACTATTCCGAAGATATCCCGGACGTCAGTCTGAGCGAGATTAGAATGGCTCTCCAGCACCTTAAAAACGGTAGGGCCCCAGGCGAGGATGGAATTACAGCGGAGCTTCTGAAAGCGGGTGGAAGACCGGTACTCGAAGTCCTTCAGAAGCTCTTTAATTCCGTCCTCCATGGTAGCATTACACCGGAGGCGTGGAGCAGAAGTACGGTGGTCTTGTTCTTCAAGAAAGGTGACAACGCTCTCTTGAAGAACTACAGACCGATTTCCCTTCTGAGCCGCGTCTACGTGCTGTTTTCGAGAGTCATTACGAATCGTCTCGCGCGCAGACTTGACGACTTCCAGCCTCCCGAACAAGCCGGTTTCCGAAAGGGCTTTAGCACCATAGACCACATACATACCCTTCGGCAAGTTGTACAGAAGTCCGAAGAGTACAATTTGCCACTATGTCTGGCGTATGTGGACTATGAGAAAGCCTTTGATTCCATCGAAATTTGGGCGGTGCTGCAGTCCCTTCAGCGGTGCCAAGTTGACTGTCGGTATATCGAAGTGTTGAAGTGCTTGTACAGTAGGGCTACGATGGCTATCCGAGTACAGAACCAGAGTACGACACCTATCCAATTGCAGAGAGGTGTAAGACAGGGTGACGTCATATCCTCGAAACTCTTCACCTCTGCATTGGAAGACGTTTTCAAGCTTCTGGACTGGAAAGGATACGGTATCAACATCAATGGCGAGTACATCACTCACCTTCGATTTGCCGACGATATAGTCCTTATGGCAGAATCGCTGGAGGGCCTAAGCACTATGCTCAATGACCTCAATAGTGTTTCCCAACGGATAGGTCTTAAGATGAACATGGACAAAACAAAGATCATGTTTAATGTCCATGTCACACCTATGCCGGTAGTTGTTGGGAGCACTAAGCTCGAAGTTGTTGACGAGTATGTTTACCTGGGACAAATAGTCCGACTAGGTAAGTCCAACTTCGACCGAGAGGTCAATCGATGGATTCAATTCGGCTGGGCAGCGTTCGGGACGCTACGACACATCTTCTCGTCAGACATACCTCAAAACCTTAAAACGAAATTGTACAACCAGTGCGTGTTGCCAGTGATGACTTACGGAACTGAGACGTGGTCCTTCACTGCTGGCCGTATGAGGAAGCTCAAGGTCGCTCAGCGAGCTATGGAGAGGGCTATGCTCGGAGTTTCTCTGTGTGATAAACTTAGGAATGAGGATATCCGCAGTAGAACCAGAATAACTGACATAGCCCAACGGATTAGTAAGCTGAAGTGGCAGTGGGCCGGCCATATAGGTCGAAGAACCGACAACCGATGGGGAAGAAAGGTTCTCGAGTGGCAGCCTCGTACCGGTAGGCGAAGTGTAGGGCGTCCCCCCACGAGATGGAGTGACGACCTGGTAAGACATGCAGGAAGTCGATGGATGCAGGTGGCTCAGGACCGTGCTTTGTGGCATTCTTTGGGGGAGGCCTATGTTCAGCAGTGGACTTGTGAAGGGCTGTAATGATGAATGATGAATAATGGTAAATAAGACAATCTACTATTTTTTTGAAATAAAATGCATTAAAAAGAACTGCATTTCATGCCTTGGTATAAGTGTTTTTTTTTGTAGGATATGGGTGACAAACGAGCACACAGTCCACCTGATGGTAAGTGGTTACTGTTGCCCATAGGCATCTACATCTATCTTCAATTACGAATCAAAATGCAGATGCGTTGTCACCCGCGAGGACTAAGATAGAATGCCTCATTTCCAGTAAAAAGGGTCTCCGGTTCTCTACACTCACCATACGACACAGCAGCGTTTAGTTGCTATTTTACGTTGGTATTCTGTGAGAGCGTGGTCCTTCCCCAGTCGAGCTGACCCATTCGTGCTACAACTATACTACTAATAGCTGCAGCATGGCTCTACCACGTTTATTGAACACTGTTTCTTCTTACTAATATAATAAATGTAAACATTTGTAAAATTGTATGTCCGATGCAGGAACACTCAAAAGGGCTCAACAGAATAAAATTAAAAATCTGTACAGTATAGATTGTCATAGAATGGTAGGTTAATTTTACAAAGGTACTTTACATACTATAGGCACCAGCAAGTTCTATCTACATTCAATTATGGTAATATTAATTAAAAATAAAACAATAAAAACTCACCCAGTAAATCCACAATAAGCTCAAGCTGTTCTATTTCTGTTCTGCCTGGTAGAAGAGGCTTGTTAGCTAAGAGTTCCCCGAGAATACATCCGGCCGCCCACATATCAAGAGCTGGAGTCTGTTTAGGTGACTGCAGTAATAACTCTGGTGCTCTGTACCATAGAGTTACTACGCGCGGTGTCGCACTACGTGCTGGCGCTCCTAGCCAACGAGCTAAACCGAAATCGGCTGAAATAATGATAATAATTTTCTATATTTCTAATAATTTAAAAACAGTTGACGGTTAATCAATATTGCCAGAACAAAGTATCATACGCGATTTACAACAGCATGAGAAAATAAGTGAATAACGAAATATTTGCAGTATCAAATTCATAATGGTTTCTTATATTTAATGTAAAATACTACAGATTATGCCCTAGAAAGAGAGTTGACATCAGGATGTTGAATGCTTTAGTTCCCCAATGACCACGAGTGCTACAAAGCATTTAAAACATCGGGAACTAAAAAGAAGATCAATTGAAAGCTGTTATACGGGATTATTTTTCAAACAGTAGCCAAAGTAAACGGCAGATTTTGTACCACATACTTTTTTGTTGTTCTGGCATAAGCAATAAGGCTTCTACTTTTATTTTAAACTATCCCAAATTCCTCTGTGTGCAATTCAATTCACAAAGATTTTGCCGACCGATCGACCCTTACGAATGTGTGTGTATGTAGGAAAATAGTAAGTGATATTTATGAATGACAATCAGTTAAAATAATGCAGTACCACGCATTTTGAATTTAAAAAATAAATAGGACAGAATGTATAAGATCTTTTCAAATTAATTTTAATTCACCGTATGCCGATATTACTTATTTGAACCTTCTCTGCAAATTTAGCCGGTTATAGAGGGTATTTAATATCAGTTGAATATTACGCGGTTTTTATTGCTGTTGCAAAATTTTATAACATAAAATTGTTATTGTTTATTGTTTTGTTTGTTTTTTTCTCATGCTATCATAAATGAGGTAACTACAGATATAAATTTTTAGCAAGTGCCAAAATTTTTACTACAAACAAATTTACTGTCCCAATTTGTGTATAGTAGATAAATATACTAGCAACACAGTTTGTAAAATAAGCAATGGTTTTATTTACCTATTTTTACACACCCCTTATCAGTTAAGAGCAAATTTGATACTTTCAGATCTCTGTGCACTATAAAATTGGAGTGCAAATACTTTAAGCCTTTTAGCACTTGTAGCATCAGGCATTTAACTTGTGACTCGGTAAACGGTGAAGACATATTGTCAAGTAAAGATGCAAGATCTTGCTCACAGTACTCCATTGAAAGAAATATGCTGTAAAAGATATTAAATTTTGAAATAAGTATTACATTTACATTATTAATCATTAAAGTCAAAAATGAGTAATAAATAACTCAATCACAATTAGCTTTCTGTGCCATCAGCCTAGAGATTCCACTCATTATTAGTATTTCACAAACAGATATGTAAAAATATATTGTACATTTTACCACGTTTTTATTAAGTCACTTTCTTGTTTGTCTGTTGTTCCGGGTGGAATTTATTAATTGATTTTAAACTAACTACAATGCAAGATTATGATAAAAAAAACATGGTAATTTTTTAAAATATTTTTTTAATAATTCTAGTTTTTCATACTTTTCATAAGAACAGTGGAATGTCCTACAACAATATGTTTGCAGTAGTTTAGTACAAGGTCTACCAAGACAATTAGTTACATAATATGTTCATTGTTACTTAGTTAAAATTTAGTTGCTGTGTTTTTATCAGTATGGCATAAATCTCATAAAAGTACCAGTTACTAAGCTGCAATAGCTGTTTTCCAGTTACATATATTGCATTGTATAGCATTATTCACTAGAAGTTGTTATGCTAAAACACATTATCATTCTTTACTGTGTGTTTGTCTAGGCGTCAAATCATTATATATCTATAAAAATGTACTGAATATTAAAACTTTTATTACATTTATATATATTATTTCTTTCAAATAATAGTAATAACATTTTTATACTAAGAAACAGAACCTTAAAAATATACCACAAAAATTAAAAAATTAAACCCTGAAGAAAAAAAATTTGGCTACAAATCAATTTTGAGTGTTAACATTATCTATCACATGGATAATACATGGTAACATTTCTTGAATATTTTGTATCATTGGAAAAGAAAATTATCTAACTTTTACTACAAAATAGTACAGTAATAATACCCTAATTAATGCACTTATACATAGTTAACTGCTCTCTAAGCCCCACTAAGCAAGTAAAGTTTTAAAATATTTCATTGTTTCGGGCGCTCATGTAAGAAGAAGCATTCTTATGAAGAAAGGATAATACATGAAAAAATTATAAAATAGATAATTAATTAAAAGATAGCAATGCGTGGACACAATGAGCTGCCTGGACTTTTTTCTCGTATATACATATATTTCATAAGGTTAAATTATAAGTATTGGGAAAATACTTGAGTTCCTTGCTGCTTTTTTTATAGAATAAGAGTGACAAACGGGCACACGTCCACCTGGTGGTAAGTGGATGCTGTGGCCCATAAACATCTACATCTATCCTCGGTTAAGAGTCAAAATGCAGATGCGTTGCCACCCCTGAGGACTAATATGAAATGCCTCGTTTCCAGTACAAAGGGTCTTTGGTTCTCTACACTCACCATACAAAACTTGTCAAAGAGATGGCAAAGCTTTCTTGAGCTCTAAAGTGCTTTGTAAGGACCAATCTTAAACGAAAAATATTGTGACTATTGACATTAAAGTCCACTGCTGGACTTCCTTTGTATGGGTCTCCCATAGTAAGAAGGATTTACTATAAATTGCTAGGCTTGAAAGGCAGATTGGCAATCACAGTATCAGATGACTCACACATTTGACACTACTCCCCGTCAACAGCCTGGTCTAAGTCTGACGTAAACAAAATGGATATACGATATGAGTGTTAACATTACTAACATGTTTTTTAGGTAATAATTGTTATCAACATTATGTAACTTATTATAGATTAAATTATTATTATTGTAGAGATATCTTTGTAGTATTCTCATCTGATTGGGTCATATTTATTTATTACAATGCCATCTGTCGGAAGTAATGAGATCTAGCATTTCCCATCGTGGCTTCTTACAACATATTTTTTCACTACTAATGTTTGACTAATGACTCAATTTTAAGACTGCTAATGAAGTTATGACTTAAAAGTCTCGTGCTCTGTCGTAGTCTGTTTCTATGACTACAAGTCACAAGTGACTGTTCCACCACGAGACTTAACAACATCTTGAGTATTTAGCCATTACACACTTCAAATGTACCTTAAGTAATATATCAACAGTTAATTGTTACTTGGATAATTAACTAAAATCCCACAAAATCAAATTGAATTTAAAACTTTAGATGCTATTCGCTCAAAATGATGTAGACCTCATTTACTCTTGATATGTATGGCAGTTGTAAGTGTCCTATTTTGTTAATTTTGGCATGAATAACTAAAATGGATAAAAACAGGGCAAACCTTTCTAAAGAACGTCCAACCAGAACCTCCTTTAACTGCACAATGTTCTCATGTTTGCAAGCCATTAATACTTGAATTTCTCGAAGACCACTTAAAGGTAAGCCATCTTTTTCCACGTCCATTCTCACCTTCTTTAATGCAACAATATTGCCATTCAATTTATCCTTAGCCCTATCTGGAACCATTTAAATATAAGTTTTTGAGTTCAATAAATTATTAAGAAATCAACTTTTTCAAACAACACAAAAATTTAAACATATTAGGTAAAATAAACATTTTAATTAATACATTTAAAGCCTTATTTCACTTTTTACTGCAATTACTCCCAAAGTATCTGCATTTTTATGGCATTTTTTTTTAATACTTCCAGTCACCAGTTTGGATATTTAACCTCAAGAAGAAACAGAATACCACTGTCAATAAGAATGTAAGATGATCTTCATGCCTGTTTGGCATGTGGTGGCACTGAAAGAGAGCCAGTAGATCACTCCTTGTCACTCTATGAGTTATATCGTTTTTGTTATATACAATATAGTAACAATGACTATAAAAAATAACTCCCAGCCTCACATCTTCAATGAAAATGTAACATACTCATTATATCACAACTTCCAGTTGCTTTCGTCATCAGTCCAATATGTCAAAAAAATAGCATGCTTGTAAACTACTACAAAATATCAGTACTTATATGAAAAAATACCAATTTTCAGTACAGTACAGTTCAGTACAATACCTACATTTAAACTATAGTTAGCTCTGTTACCATTACATTTATGTTAGTAAAGTACAAATGAGGAGGTGCAAGTTTGATTTTCATACAAAATGGTAACTGTAGTCACCCAAGAGTATCCAATGAATTAAGCTCTTAGCTAACATACAGTCATTAAACTAAACTGGCAATTTTTCATGTGCTGTTAATGTGAATCTATTGTACTTATATAAATACAGTAACATACTTACAAACAATTCCATAAGTTCCTTCTCCAATGCGATTTAACTTCTCAAACTCTCCAACAAATCTGCATCTGCCTAACTGAAATTATCACACACAAGTGCTAAATTAAAAATTTTACACCAATATAAATTAAATGAGATCATCAATGTAGTCAAAGTCAATTAATTACGCATTATTGAGGATAACTCAAAAACTATTGGTCAAGTCTTGATCACATTTATATGGGACTACATGAGAAGCACCAGCTTTCAAATAAAAAAGAAACATCAAAATCGGTTCACTGAATCAGTTTAGAAAGAACTACTGAGGTAACACACATAAAAAATATAGTCGAATTGAGAAGCTCCTCCTTTTTTGAAGTCGGTTTAAAAAAGTCCGCCCTTTGTTAGCTTTAAGTTAAGAATAATAGAAAAGTTTAAAAATTGAGTAAATGTTCGAGTACAGTAATTATTAGGTTAGAATTCAAAAACTTACTATATCCTTTTCAGGTATTTCCATTGTTTTGCCGGTTCTAAACGAAATAAGTACGCCTTTGCGGGCAGCTGGTCCTGTAGGATCCACAACATCTTGACTCGACTGTTTTTCAGAATCTGTAATAAAATAGTGTAAATAGAAACAAAGTGAGATGCTTATAGTACTAAAAAAATTATATTTAACATTTTTTACTTACTTTGAGACATAATAATAATAAAGTTATTACCACTACTCTTCCGAAGAAATTACGTTTTACTTTTATTTAATATAAATCAATATAATCAAGAGAATTTAATTACATTGAAGGTGTAATTTGGTGTTATGTTTACACCATAGACGAATATATTGGCGTCATAGACATATCCTCTATCTACGATTGGCGTACGCCTGTTTACACATTAGGCCCGCCCCATACATGCGGAATTCCGTTACCGAATTCCGTTTCGGGATCCCGTTTCGGAAATCCGAATGGGTCGGCCACACACATACGGAATCCCGTTTTGCCCGCAAAATTTCGAACGGAAAAATACTGTACGTGTGTGGCGGGTCATAGATTTTATATGGACTTGCTGCGTTCGGGATTCCGAATCGGAATATCGAAACGGAATCTCGAAACGGAATTCCGTATGTATGTGGCCAGCCTTAATCTCTTTGATGTACCGACACTCGAGTTATCGTTCAACGGAAAATGGCATTGTTCTTGCCGTTGTAGAATTATCGCGTTAAGTGGTGGCCACACCTACATTCAACGCCCATCAACGGCATTTCTCGTTAGTGTAGCCCGGGCATTATAGTTATTGACATTAATGTCGTCGTAGTCGATTAAAGTGGGTAGAAAACTGCATGTGCTTAGTGTAAGAACACTAAGCACGTTAAAAGTGTGTCCACACAAATTAAAAAGTGTGTCCATCGTATCGTACCATCGCATAGTGTTCCCGCTTTGGTGTTTCATACAAGTAGAATATTCGAAAATAAAAGTGTCTGTTTTCCTAATTATATTTTAGATTCTTATTTGGAAGCCTCTTTTAATATCGAATATTTATCGGTGTAACGACGAAATAATAAAACGTACAAAAATTAATGACTTATTTTTTCCATGTATGGAAAAAAATATTCAAACCCGATTTGCTCCAATATATAAAAAAAAACGCGTCGGTGAAAAATCCTATTATAATATTATAGTTACTAGTATGAAACGCCAAAACGGGACGACTGTGCAATGTGCATCGTGGGAGTAATAATAGTGGATAGTGAAGATATTATGATGGAAGATATAATATTTCGAAATCTTGAATGTTAATCAAGTGTATTTTTTTAAATATGGACTGTAATTATTTTTAAACTATTGACTGTTACTAAATAACCTCTTTTTTTTAATTTCATACATATAAAACATGAAAAGTACTTAATTTTAATTTTAAAAAAATAGCGAGAACTTGTGGTTTTTTTTCAATCCAAATTTCCAAAATATGGCGACTTTTTACTCTGGATTGGAGGTGGGCAAAGTGTTTTTGTGATTGGAACATTTGCATCTTGATCACTGAAATGTTCCGAAACACTGATATGTTTCATTTGGCTCATTTTGATCATCGACTCAAAAGATATAAAAGAAAGAATGTTCCGAATACATTAAGTTGCGACGCGGGCGTTTATTACTGACTGATCCGAGAAATATTATGTGGCAAAAATGCTGAATAATATAAGTGCTTAGACCTTACGTGGTGGAGCCATGCTGCAGCTATATTAGTAGTATAGTTGTAGCACGAATAGGTCGGCTCGACCGGGGTAGGACCACGCTCTCACAGAATACCAGCGTAAAATAGCAGCTTCATGCTGCTGTGTTTCGTATGGTGAGTGTAGAGAACCGGAGACCCTTTTAAAATGGAAAAGAGGCGTTCCATCTTAGTCCTCACGGGTGACAACGCATCTGCATTTTGATTCGCAAACGAGGATCGATGTAGATGTCTATGGGCCACAGCAACCACTTACCATCAGGTGGACTGTGTGCTTGTTTGTCAACCCTATACTATATAAAAAAAGATTATTTATTGTGTACCGTAATAAGATTGTATATAAAATCGATTCTCATTCATACTTTAACAAAAATGTCACTGTAAAACTAGAAAAATGTCCATTTACACAAAACAGCAATGTCTATGTACACAGAATTTACTCGTAAAGTATCATAACTCTAAACTTGATGATGAGAAGGAATAAAGTAAAGTCACAATAATCACTACGCAAAGAAATCCTAAACATAACTCAGTATGTTTTCGTAAACAGGCGCTAATGAATATAAACAATTTCACAAGTGCCGCATCAACGTAAAATGACAACTTGTTAATGCAAACATTACATACAAAAAACGACCGTATAGTATTTGACAAATAAGCGCCTTAGTGGTAATTTTTACGTACATGAATAACGTCAGCGACAATCCGTACGAGTTGAGTGATACACTTCTTATTTGTTATCTCTATCTGACTTGTGTGGATTATAATTATTTCGCCCGCACACTCGCCACTCGTGAGTCAATAGTTAAGTTAATCATTGTCTCAGTCTGTCTTTCTCACTCGTGGCTCAGTCGCCTCGCAAGCGACGCGTCGCGCGTAATGAGCAAAGAGCAAAGTAATGTTTCACTGTTCCAGATCCAAATGATACATTTGAAACGTTGTTACTGAACCAATCTTTTGTGTCACTTCAGTGATTCGTATCAGTGAGTCGTTTCCGCAAAGAGATACACACGCCTACTCTGGATTCTATGCTCTGGATCACAGAGTACTTTGAATAACTCTGGATCTAGTGACAAGATAATTTTTGAGGTGGCAACTCTGTTGGTGTGTTGCCTACTGTGTGTTGTGTGCACAAACCTAACAGATTTTTTACATTTATTTCACAATTTTCTTCATGCAGTGTGTGGGTCTCAATTTTTAAGATTTCAGACGTATGTCATGTATTGCATTAAACGCATGTGGGCTTTAAAGCCCTTTTATAATCATTGTATTCCAAAGTGCTGAATAAATATAATTTATTATCCACATTTTGTGTTGTGAAGTTTGTTTTTTATAATTATCACATGAATTTTTACTTTTTTTTTTCAAAATAAAGCCACACAGGTCTGCATTTCTGCAGAAAGGATCTCCAACACTTTCATCAAATAATTCTGTTATTGATGACATAAAATCATCAATAACAAAATCGTCACTAACAGATCCTTCAGGCAAAGTTCGACTTGTGCATATTAGTGGGCGATTTAATAGTTTTTTGAAATTTTATACGCTTTACAATTTCCTTTCGATGAGTTATTTAATTTTGAAAAAAATGGCTAATGTTTTTGGGTTTTTTTTGTTAAATTAGAATACAAAAATGTGTTATACCATTCATAGTCCATAGCTAACCCATTATAGAAGGGGTGGAACTCTCTGGCATCCTATGAATATTAAAGTTTTGAAGAATCTTCTCATTTCAAACTTCCCAATGTGGAGGTCTTCGATATGTTTGTTAATTAAAAAAAAGAGAATTTACAGAATGAGCTTCAGCTGCTTCTGGAGCCCCCATATATCTAAACTAGCAAGCAGACTTAGTTCTGCAGCATATGCTGTAAACAAGGTTAGAAATCTTACCAGTGTTGAAACAGCTAGACTAGTTTACTTTAGCTATTTCCATAGCATAATGTCGTATGGTATTTTGCTGTGGGGACACGCAGCTGACACTGAAATTATATTTGTTTTACAGAAGATGGCTATAAGAGCAATTTATAATTTAAAGCCTAAAGAGTCGCTGCGACAAATATTTAAGAAAATTAATATATTAATTTTGGCCTTTCAATACATTTATGAAAATGTAATGTAAGTACACAAAAATAAAAGTAGTTTTACAAACATAAGTGATATTCATTCTGTAAATACTAGGAACAGACACAAGCTAATAGTACCAGTTACTCTACTCCACCGAGTCAGTAATTCATTCTTGGGGCGAATTATACGCTTTTACAAAAAAATTCCAGAAAATATACAAAATTTGACTTGCTCAAAGTTCAAAAACTTTATTAAACTAAGTTTGTATAAAAAGGGTTATTATAAAGTTAAGGAATTTATGGATGATAATAACCCCTGGGAATGAGGTGATCGCTACCAAGCTATTTCTAATTTGTTGTGTTGTTAATTGTGTAACATACATGATTGTAAGCTATTTAAAAAAACCCGCTGGGTTTCTTGCTGGTTCTTCCCAGGACAGAGGTTTTTTTTCGAACCAGTGGTAATTAAACAAAAGAGTGATTTTCAATAAGTATTATATATAAATATAAATAAATAAATAAATATAAAATTTATTTCAAAACATTGGGTACATTATATTATATTAGTGATCGTAGCCCCCTTTTAAGCTAATGAGCCTGTATCAGGGAGCAACGCTCTTCCATTAATTTAGGTCGTTTTAGAACAATGTACAGTTTAAAAATAATAAATTTTGGAGTTTGAAGTAGAACGTTTAAAAGATAACAATGATAATCTATATTGAATAAACAAGTTTCTGTTTCTGTTTCAAATTGTCGACATTTTTATATTTAAATTGAGTATATATTATTATAGTTATTTTCTATGTGAAAATTGCAAGAAGTTTGCATAATTTAAACATTGTTTTATAACATATTAAATTACGCCGTAAACTGTAATTCCAATATGCCAACTTATTTGAATTTAAAACATGTCTGTATAGATTAGTTATATTTTTTTTCCGTATCTTTTTTTATGGAGAAATTAATTTGTAAACATAAATTAAGATTTACTATACTTGCAATCCAAACTTATTAGTTTGGATTCGTGATGTCCCAGGCACTACAGCGTCTAGAATAGCTGTTGTAAAATTATTGACGCTGTATAAATCATCTTTAGATGTAAAGGCCAATTTTTCTATTAAAACAAAATTCAAATTGTCGAGATATTTTATATTTTATTTAAATTGATTACATATTATTGTAGTTATTTTCTGTGTGAATATTGTAAGAATTTTGCATAATTTAAACATGTTTCATTAAATATTAAGTTACGCTACACCTGTAATTCCAATATACTAACTTAAATGAATTTAAAACAATTTAATAGGCTAATTATATTTGTTTTTTTTTCTATATCTTTTGTTATGAATAAATGAATTTGTAAGCATAAATTATATTTTACTATAACTTGTATTCCTCGTCAGAAATACA